GGATCGCACCTGGCAGTACTCAGGGGCTACTGTGGCTCGGTGTTCAGTGCTCATGAGGGGTTGGAAATCAAACCTAGGCCTGCATACAAAGCATATGCTCCATCCAGGAAGAGTTGATTCTAGCTTCAGCCTGGATCGGCCAGTGATATACAGCCTATGAAGCCATATTGATATAGATATAGGAGCAACATAGAGAATGTTCTAGAGACCAGCCTGAGACCAGTTTAAGCCTTCCAGAATCACTTAGGAAAGAGATCTAGATTGCTATTTTGAAGGCAGTGGGAAAGGTGAAAAGTAGATGAATGCAGAAGATGTTTCAAGGGCCCAGACTGCAGCAAGCCTATTCTTGCAGGAGAGCAAAGAGCAGGGATTTGGGTTTTTCAGAGATCCTACAAACTAGAGTGAGGAAAGAATAAAATAATGCAATAGTAGTTGAGGGCACCAGAACCTGTCCGTCTGCTTTTCATCCTTTGAGATCTGCAGCTGGACCTGAAATTGGCTTCAGGACCAGTCTAGAAGGTGGGGCTGTGGAACTGGTGAGCTGAGTTCTCAGGTCTGGGGACAGATGACCATGAGAAACTAGATTCACTTTCTAGTTCCCAAAATCAGATCCTACTGATTTAATCTGAAACTGGCAGGGTCCCTGGGATATCTCTCGGTCTAGGTGAACGTTCTCCCCACTGAAACTCAGGCAGGCAGGCAGGCAGGAGTCAGCCTGAGGTCCTTGGCATCAGCAGAGGCTTTTGGACCTTTGTCCAGGCCACTGTGACCACCATGATTCAGGGTCATCAGCCACAGAGTCCAGGCCCTCCTGGAGGTGTTACTACAAGGGAGAAGAGTCAAAGGGATAAAACAGCAGGTAGGGTGCTTGCCTTCCACAAAACCAACCTGGATTTGATCCCTGGCACCACATATGGTTCCCCAAGCTCCCCCAGGAGTGATCCATGAGCACCATCAGGTGTGTGCCCCCCACCCCCCAAATAAAAGATAGGAGTCTGCAGGGAGAGCACAGAGGACACAGCCTCCTTCTGTGTCCAGCTCAGAGACCTGACTTGTGGCGCCGCCAGAGCCCATAGCTGTATTTCAGGCCATTGCCTAAGTAGGGGACCCTCTTCCCACCCTGAGCTTCATAGGGACCTTTAGGATATGCCCGTCATCTGGCCGATTCCTACAGCCTTTATCCAGAGTAAAGCTGGACACTTCCTAGGCTAGAAAAGTGCCTTTCTTCTTTATCCTTTTAAAACAAGTTCAACAAATAAATAAATAAATAAATAAATGAGTTCATCCTTGGCTTACAATATTATGGAATTTGGGGGCACTGGCTTCATACCCTTCTGTTCATGGAATACCATACCCACCAGCGAAGTCTCAGTGCCTGTGTCATCCAAGAGAGCCTTCACTCATTCCCCGTCACTTCCCACCCACCGTGGTTTTCACCCAGCCTCAGGGCTAGTTTTATTGTTTCTTGCCTCATTCACTTGCTTCAACTCTTCATGCTCCACAGATAAGTGAAACCGTCAGGTTCTTCTATTTCATTTCCTTATTTTACTTAGAATTGTCTCTAAATCCATCCAGTTTTTTTACCCCCCCCCCCCTTTTTTAATGGCTGAGTAGTATGTTTGAATATACCATAATTTCTTTATCAAAAAATATTTAATTTTTCTAAATATTTTATATTTGGGAGGAAGAGAAGAGGCTACACTAGTTATAAGAGGGGACTACACCTGGCAGTGTTCAGGAGTGATGTATGGGGCTGGGATTCAACCACTGCCACAGCTGTAGCCGTATGCAAACCTTATAACTTCTGAACTGTCTTTCTACCTCTGTCAGTCAGTTACCTTTAGGTCGATTGCACTTTTTGGTATGGTGAATAATGCTGAACATAGGGATGAAAGCAGTCTTTAATGTTTTCAGTGCTCTTGGAAAATGGCTAGGAGCAATATTTCTCCTAGATATTTAACCTAGAGTCATATGGAATTTCCATTTTATAAGGAATTTTTATACCATTTTCTGTAACTGTTGCACCAGTTTATATCACTACCAACCATGTTCCCAAGTTTCTTTTTCCCCACACCTTGACCAATAGCAAGGTTATTTCCAGTCTTTTTAACACAGACCATTCTTTTTTTTTAAATTTTATTTAATCACCGTGAGATAGTTACAATCACACAATAATCAAACACCCGTCCCTCCACCAGTGCACATTCCCCACCAACAATATCCCCAGTATACCCCCTTCCCCACCCTCCCCCTGCCTCCATGGCAGACAGTATTCCCCATACTCTCTCTCTACTTTTGGGCATTATGATTTGCAATGCAGATAATGAGAGGTTATCATGTTTGGTCCTTTATCTACTTTCGACACACCTCTCCCATCCTGACCCAGTTCCTCCAGCCATCATTTTCTTAGTGATCCCTTCTCTATTCCAGCTGCCTTCTCCCCTTTGCTCATGAGGTAGGCATCCAACTATGGAGCAATCTTCCTGTCCCATGTATCTACTATCCTTAGGTGTCAGCCTCATGTTATGTTGTTTTATACTCCACAAATGAGTGCAGTCCTTCTGTGGATACAGACCATTCTTACCAGTTTGAGGTTTTAGCTCATCATGGATTTTTCTGGGTTTTGGTTTGGTTGGTTTTGTGATGTCAGGAATCAGATCAATGTGGCTTGGGTTTGCATTTCTCTTACAATCAGCAGTGTGGAATATATTCTGTGTGGTAGTCATCTGGACTGCTTCTTTGGAGAAGTCTCTGTCCAGATCTTTGTCTGGGTTTTTATGGGGTTGCTCGCTGTTTTTGATGTTGAACTGTGTGAGGTAAAAGAACTTTCTGGACCTGGTTGTGGCAGAATGGCAATGGCTCTGGTCTGTTGCATGCATGAGACCTGAGTTTGATCCCCCCACCACACACATACACACACACACACACACACACACACACATGCACACATGTGCACACACATAAATGAAAGAAATTTTTTCTGGGGGCAGAGAGATAGTACAGATAGCTGGCGAAGCACTTGCCTTGTACATGGCCAACCTGATTTGATCCCCAGCACCTCTAGGGTGCCCCAGGATCACTCCTACACATAGAACCAGGAATCAGCCCTGGAGTCAGCCCTGAACATCCAGGAGTGTTCCCCCTAACCACCATCATGATCACGATCATCCTGTTGTTCGTCGATTACCTCGAGCAGGCACCAGTAACATCTCCTTCTTCCTAGCCCTGAGATTTTAAAAGAGCCATATTCAATGCTCTTTCAGGGTTAGGAGAATGAGACCCCTCATTTTTACTGGTATTCGGCATATTGAGTACAACATGGGAAGTTTGCTAGACTCTGCTGTGCGGGCAGGATACTTTCGGCAGCCTGCCAGGTTCTCCAAAGTAAGAACGAGATAGTAAGATGTGGCCTTGCTCTTCCGGGAGCTGGGTTTTATAGTCTCTGGGTCTTGGCCATTGATGGGACCACCTGGCACCAGCAGCAGCTGGTGGGTATAAGACCTACTAGAAGATGGGGGATCTGAGTGGAGAAGGTCCAGTCCTGATCCGAGCAGGCTTGGAGATCTCAGCCCTGGGACCCGCATGCCTGGGTTCCTCTGCCGGTTCCTTCATGCATGAGGCTTGTCCGGATGTGTGGAGAGTGGTCTCAGCATGGCTGTGGCTGGTTCTGGAGGTCTTTGGCTGCTGGGGCTCTGCTTGGGGGAGGGGGGGAGGAAAACTCAACCCGCCCCCCTCCAAGGAGGGGCCCCGGTGAGGACAGCCAGGCGCAGGGGCAGGAGAAAAAAAAAATTTTTTTTTCTTGAGCAGAGATATAGCTCAGGAATCTACGCACATGCCTTATATGTTCTGGGGCCTGAGTTCAATCCCCAAACCGCGTGACCCCCCAAACACTGTCAGATGTGGCCCTGGAGGCCCTCAGCACCATTGGCCCTTATAAGCACTGCACCAGCAGGTCCCGATATTAACCTGTACAGCCTGATTAGCCAAACATCAATGGAAGTTGACTCAACACCCCTGAGCACTGCTCAGGAGCCCCTCTCCTACCCCCCCCCCCAACACACACACATTCCCAATTAAAGAAAAATTAGAGGCTTTTCTGATTTCATCAAGAAACAGAGCAGTTAGGAGATGCAAATATATACAGAGACTATTTCTGGAGAAGAGTTTGCTTGTCACCCTCCATAGCCTGAAGCTCGGGTCACTTGCAGGAGGCAGACTGGGTTTCCCCATACACCTCTTCTTACTCACCCACGGTTCACACCCATGGGAACGTAGGAGAAGGAGACTGCCGCCAGCCGAGGCAAGGAGCCTGCAGTCCTACACTCTCCTATCATCTCCAGTGCTTCCCTAGTGAGTTGTGTGGCCTCGGGCAAGTTTGTTCCTTCACTTCTCTGAGTCCCTAGGCTGATTCTGAATGTGAAGGGTGGTGGTGAAGATTCCGTGTGATATTGAAGTGTATCCCGAAGACTGACTTGACCATTGTGAGCCTGGGAAGACAGCGACAACGATGATGATAATGATAGTGGTGGCAGTGGTGGTGGTGGTGGTGGTGGTGGTGGTGGTGGTGGTGGTGGTTGAAAATTAGTTGGTTGCTGCTGCTGCTGCTGCTGATGATTCCACATCAGAGCCCTGCAGAATTCTGTGCCTGCCTCCACAGCTGGACCTCTCAGAGGCTAGTCTTCAAGGACCCCTGCTGGTGGGGGTAAGGCAGGTAGTATTCAGAGGGACGCAGAGTAGGGCCAGAATGATAGTACAGGGGCTAGGACTCTTACCTTGCACAGAGCCAGCCCGGGCTTGATACCCCAGCATCCCATGCAATTCCCCTGGGAGTGATCCCTGAACATGGAAAGAGCCAGGAGTAAGTCCTGAGCACCACTGAGCGTGACCCCCAAACCAAAACAAAAGAGCAAGGGCAGAGGGCAGATGTAGCAGGATTGAAAGGCTTTCATCTTTGTGGTTTTATCAACCAGCATCCTCTCACATTTCTCTCTCTGTTGCAGGAGTGTGGGAGAGAACCTCGCTGCTGATGACTTCCAAGGAGGGGCCCTGGACATGTGCTGCAGTGAGAGGCTGCCGGGTGAGTCTTCCCAGCGCCCGGACACCCCGGGGAACTCCAAACACAGGGCAAAGCCTGACAGCACAATGGCTCAGGGGCTGGAGTGAAGTGAGGCTAACTGTGAATCCGCAGGACAGGGGTGATGCAGCTGGCTGGTCCCTGGATCTCCTTTTAAAGAGGAATAAGCTTTCCTGACCTCTGGTCTCTCTCTAACCTGTTGCCCAGAGCTGGGTGTGGGACACCTATCACAGAATGGTGGCGTGAATGTGGCCTGTACCCCAGCTAAGGGGGTGACTGGGAAAAAGTGGCCAAGAGCTGACTGGTGGTGAGCACACACAGCGTGACTTGTTTTCGGGTGACCCACCCACAGGGCCCAGGCTGCAGCTGTACACAGTCCCCATACAGCCTGTACACAGCCTAGACATGGCCTAGGCACAGCCCAGACTTTCCAACACCAGGATGTGTCATGCCCCAGATGTAGGCCAGGCCCCCAGGTTGTGATTCACAGTGTTGAAGGAACAGAAAGAAGGAGAATGAGGAACGTCTCCAATGAGTATTTTAGGTTTTTTTTTCTCTTTTTAGAATGAATATCCATTGCATAATATTACAAAAGGCAAATAAATAAGTATGAAAGAGAAATCATCAGAATATTGTAACAACATATTTTGTGCCTTTTCTTTTAAACATTTTTTGTTTAAAAAGGAAGCAGAGATGACCAGAGAGATAGCATAGGGGCTAGAGCTCTTGCCATGCATGCAGCCAACCCATGTTCGATTCCCACCCCCTCCATATGGTCCCCTGAGCCCCTCCAGAAGTGACCCTGAGTACAGAACCAGGAGTAAGCCCTGAACATTGCCGGATGTGACCCAAAAACAAAAATAAATTTAAAATTTAAATTAAAAAAAAATTCTAACAGGGAGCTGGAGGAAAAGGACAGCAGGGAAGGTACTTGCCTGCATGTGGCCTACTTGGTTCCATCCCCAGCACCATATGCTGCCCTGGAAGCCTCTTAGGAGTGACCCATAAGCAAAAAGCCTGGAGTAAGCTCTGAAAACAACTAGGTGTGGCCCCAAAACAAAGTAATAATAAAAGAAACAGCTAGGAAAGTGACTCCGTGGCAGAGCCTGGGCCTTGCATGTGGAGATCTGGGTGTGATCCCTGGAACTATCAGAAATGTTTCGATCAATTAAAGAGCCAGAGGGATAGCGTAGGCGTTAAGGCACATCCTTTGCTTGTGGTTGATCCTGGATCAAGCCCCAGTACCACATGGTCCCCCCAGCATAGTTGTGGTTCTGAGGCCATTGGGCTGACCTGGGTAGACCCAGCACTGCAGTATCACACCCTCAGGCCCCTGCATGGAGCTGCCGGAAGTCACCCTGCACCAGCAGCACCGGGCAGAGTCCCCGAGCCCCCTGAGCACTGCTTGGGAGGCCTCTCCAAAGTACTCTTTTAAATACAAGTCTGAAATGACAAATCTGTAGCTTGTCAGAAACTCCATCCTTGGCAAGGAGCCTTATAGTGCGCATCGGTAACATGCTCCAGAGAAACACGGAAACCAGCAAAGTGTGGCTTAAAAGAAATGACTCTAAAACAAGCGGTACTGGCTAGTGGGTGCTCAAAAGGCAGGAGCATATGCATTGCAGCAGGAGCTCTGGTTCAGTACCCAGCACCACACGGTTCCTTCCTGGAGAAGGCACTGAGCACCGCGGTGTGGCCCCTCAAAACTAAATAAATGGAACAATTATTTTATTCACACCTTGTGTCTCCTGGTGCCCCTGAGGGCAACCTGTGAAGATTGAGCTTTTTGGTGCAATTCACACCTTCTCCAGTAGGGGGTGGCATTGCCCCAAGCACTGAGGTTGGCCCCCTTGGGATGGTTTAGAATGGAGGCCTGCCTAGGGGTAGCCCAAAACAGCTTCCCTGAAGCAAAGAGTTCCCCCAAGGGCGCGTGAGCTGCCTGCCTGCAGATATCTGAAAGGCTGTTTTGTGAAGGGGCATCTGATTCACTCTGGGTATCTTCAGAGGGAAGCCAAGGCGAAGCCTATTGGCCCAAGGGATGCGGAACTGTGACTCAAAGCAGCCCCGTCATAGCGCTGGATAATTCAAGAGGGGGACAGAGAGTATTCCATCACTGGAGGCATTCAAGCCTTGTCTGGCTAAATATTGGAGAGGAAATTTCCACAATGGTGGGAGGTCGAGCTGACATCTAAAGTCCCTTTCAACTATTAAATAGTTCTGTGATTCAGATATGAGTCATAAAATTCAGGGATGATTCTACAACTAGGGATGGCCCCACTGGCTAGGAAGGAAGCAAAAAAAAAAAAAAACACACAGAAAATAGGACATGATGTATAAGGAGGCCAGAAAGCGGGATGGGGTGAGGTGAGGTAGAGGAAAGAACCTGGGAATTGGCCGTAGAGCCTGGTGGTTTGATTGCAGTCTGTGTGCTAGTGGGAATGTCACTTCACCTTGCTGGGCCTCGCATGCTCATCTGTAAATAGAAAGAGCAGTTTTCATTTATAAAAATGAATATTTTTTTCACACAGCACTATGAAAGTATGAATAGATAGCCTCACAAGGATTCGATCGATAGGATAATACAGGCAGTCATTTAAGAAACATTGACTGAAGCCCTACTGTGTGTTGGGTCCTACGCCAGGTGCCAGGAAGAGAGCAGATATAGCTCCCTCCTTGCTGTGAGTTGTTTCTGGAAAACAAGATGAAGCCCCAGAAGAGAGGCTAAAAATTAAGAAGCAGTCAAAGAGTTAAATTCCAGCTCTTCTCCCATTCCCTTCCAAAAGCCAACGACCCACATAGAGTGAAAGGAGAGGCATTGGGCATCTTCACTGGGCATCTTTCTCTGGCCAGGCACTGCTCTAAAAGCCATCTTGTGTCCACTTCACTGTGACTGCAAAGTCACTGTCATTCGCTGTTTGCATCTTCCAGGTGAGAGGAGGTTAAAGAGTCTGATGTAGGCCAGAGAAAGTACAGGGGTCAGATGCTTGCCTTGCATGTGGGCAACCCTGGTTCAATCCCCAGCATCACATATGGCTCATCGAGCACAGGAGTGATCACAGAGCAGAGTCGGGAGTAAGCCCTGAACACAGTCAGGTGTAGCCCAAAAATTCAAAAGCAAGGGGACCAGGGGAGGAGAATTTGACACGATCACTGAACTAGGATTGGTCAGCAGTCACCCTTGGAGCCTGTGCTATCCCACTGCGCCTCCATCATCAACACCGAGCCACCATTTCTCTGCCGCTCTGAGGCAGGGAGAACACAAATGTGTCTGTCCTCAGGACAGAGTTTGGAGGAGGCAAATGTCCCTGTGCCTGACCAATCCATGTCCTTTGGAAAGAGACAGGCAGGTTAGACCTAGAACCCCTGCCAGACTCCTGTCATATCTCAATCCTCCCAGACTCTAACATATCTGATTCCCCCAAGCCTCCACTTTATCTAGACCCCCAGGCTCCCACCATATCTAATCCCCAGACTCCCACCATATCTGATCCCCCCCCAAACCTCCTCCTTATCTAGATCTCCAGACTCCCACCATATCTACCTCCCCTCCAAACTCATACCCTATCTCGATTCCCAGACTAGAATCCTAGCTAGAATCCTAGCTCGATTCCCAGACTAGAATCCTAGAATCCTAGCTAGAGCCCTTGTAGACGCCCATCATATCTAGATTCCTTCCAGAATTGGATCGTATCTAGAACTATTCCTGCGACTCGCCCCATCTAGAGCCCCTGCAGACTCCCACCACGGCTCCCTGAGAGGTATGGAAATAACTCCCTTCGTCCCAGGGCTCACATGCTCTTGGAGAGGCAGTGCCTCCCTCTCGTTATTGTCTTCCCTGGGCCTCTGCCCAGGTTGGTTCCTCCAGTAAGCACGGCCTATCCTTCAGTGAACTGGTTTGACAAAAAGTTCCCAGGCTCACAAAGCATCATTGAGTCTGGAATAAAAACAAGCGTCCATCACCACTCACTCCAGGGAGCGTCTGAGCTGGCCACCTCGGGGCTCTGTGACTGCCATGTAGAGCAGTGATTGACTGTGCAGAGTTGTTAGAGAATTCGATGAGCTCATCGACAAAGAGCTGGGAACAGCTCCTGGCATGTAGCAAGTGCTGGGATGGTATATGTTAGTAAGAGAAAGAAGGACAAAAAGTAAATAAGTGAAATAGGTAGCGTGGCTGGTTATACGTGCTAGGAAGGATGGAAAGCCCAGAAGTGGTGAGTATGGGACAGGACCAGTGCCAGAAGGGGAATGATCCTGGAACCTACTAAACAAATGTCCACAAATGTTCACCAGCTGGGACGTATGGTTTAAACAGCCACATGGAGCAAAAGATCTGCAGGTATATAAAAGGCCCAGAGCTTGGGGTGCTGGACCTTTAGGACGAACCCCGGCGCCCTTCAGGCAGTTACATAATGCTGATGTAAAAAACACAGAGCCCCAGTCCTCTCTCCCCCTCCCGCCGTCTTCCCCAGCGGCCGGCAGGATGAGAGGCAGCAGAGCGAGGGCCAGCCCCGCCTGGTGACTCATCCCTTCCCACGTGCACCCCGGGCTGGGACGACACAGCCAGTTCTCCTGGGCACGGTCACCTGGGCCCTCTGCCAGCACCAGGCAGGTCATTCAGTCCTCCCAGCTGGAGATGTAGGGGGTGAAAATACCCTCCGGCCTCGCCACCGCCCGCAGGCAGGCAGCCCAGAGGGGCAGCACATGGTGGACAGACCCGAGCATGTGCCCGCCCGCCGTGCTGCTCCACACGTGTGCTCCGCACTCACGTTTGTGCTCACTTGTCCCGGTCTGTTGCTTGATGACACATATGCAAGCACCCACCCACGGCCACCCAGATACGTGCCACCCTCTCTGTCACATGGCTGCAGGGCTCACGCCCAGCATGGCGCACGCACACCTGCAGGGCTGCTTCCTCTGGTGCATTCGGGATCCCTGAGGCCCCCCGGCGCCCGCATCCAGGCCCCTCACGTGCCTCAAAGCAGTGCGCTTGCCTGCAGGCTTCC